GTACACATAAATAACCTCGCTTCGACCGCCCCAACAGAAAGGGTACTGCATCGTAACCCAAGTCAGCCCTTAGAACTGACCATAATCCATGGCGATCTTTCCACTAATAATACCGAACTCTTAGTCTACGCCATGAATCAGGATGCAACGGTCCAGGACTTAACAACACGAGCGCCGCTCTTAACCGCACACACCATGGATGGATGCTCGATTAAGCAACACCAAAATGGTGCATTGGCAAGAGCCCCCGTTCTTTTATCGCAAACGATAGATGGGCAGCCGGACTATTTAGCCTCAGGAACACAAGATGCAAGTATATATCCTAGAGCACCTATCCTTTCATCCCACACCATCGACGGGTCAACATACTAATACGCAATGTCCGCTGGAAACGACGGCATCATGTTGGGATATAATGTCGCTTATGTAAGTCAGAACAACACTCAAATTGCAGGCGATATGTCAATGGCGACGTATGGAGATTTACATCCATCATTCTTTGATCCAAATTAACGACCAACGGGCGAAGAGATCATTCTAATTTGCATATGCCAATCGAAACCACTGTCACGAATCTTTCGTCATGCTATCTTGTTAGAGCATTACCTTCATCTACAAACTCAAAATTTGTCCCGATAGTTACACTTTCTATTTCGGCCACTTTTTCGATGAGTGCCTGCGCCTTTAGGAGTCTCATCTTCGCCCACTCCTTAAGCTCTTCCTTTGTGGCAAATCCAAGCATAATCGTAAACCCTTGCATTATTATAAATCCTAGGCGGCCATCTACTATAGCCCTATTCGCATATTTTTAGCAGATACAGATTAAATCAGAAGAGATATCTTACAGTCCTCCTTACTTCATTTTGACTTCCACGGGTATAATGTCCTTTCTTATTAGATGACTTAGTGAAATCTCAAGGAGTCCATTCGCCGCAGGCTTTGCACCTAAGTGTTGGAGATGTGAGCCATTATGGAAAACCACTCGCGATCCTCTGCTCCACAGCTGAACCACCAGAACTTGGGCCTCTGTGTGTATTTTGTTCATGAAGGAGAACGTACGATTGGAGTCACTACCAAAGGCTTTGTAAAATCCTAGACCCGACCACTCAAAGAAGTTTTCGAGGGTGTCTCGAATACGCTGAGATATGTTAAATATATCCTTTCTCGGTGCTCTTAAGGCTTGCCTTGTCATCAAAGGTGTGTAGTTTACAAAACTCCAGACCCTCAAGTGTCTTAAATGGAAACCCCTTTTCTTCGATCTCCCTAACTCTTTTCCCAATAGCAGCATCTTCCACACAAAAGGCTCCGTCCTCTAGTACGGACACCTGCGGCGGCCTGGTAGATGTGGATTAACCGTTCGCCATAAAATATTTGGGCGTTCTAGCGATGACGGGGTCAAAGTATCAAGATGGTGGGTTCGAGGTGTGATAAATAAGTGCGCCGGCCCATTTATCAAAATCAGTGTCATATCATTTGTTACCCTTGATGCGATGCGCGTCGCCTTCACTTACAGTGAAAATATCATCTCTGGGATCAAATTTTGTCTTGGAAGGCGGAAGCTACGCCTGCGATCCGCGGGGCAACACCAGCGAGGCTTCTGAAAAGACCGGTTCAAAGATTTTCCGTTCCGATGCCGAGACATATTTGCCAGCAGAATCCACTTAACCATATGAGGGATAGAGCAGTCGTTCGACTCGAGGAAATTCTCAATGAGGCTGGTTCATTTAGCCGTGAGACCGTGAACCATGAGCCGTGAGACCGTGAACCATGAGCCGTGAGACTGTGCCATGAGCCGTGAGACCATATGCAATGAACCTGGATCATCATGAAACTGGAGCATCCACCTATACAGGGCTTATGTGCTCTATAATGAGAGGCATCGATACGCATTATAATGCTTCCCAAGCTCTAATACCTAGCACTCTGTCGGCGCTGCAGCAAGATGAGGCGATGAGCTAGCGAATCACCAATGATCAATATTTCGATGGTTTGAGGCAGGCCGCATATTATGCAACCAACTACTAAGCTCTTCACACTCAAGGTGAATGCGACTTGCATACACCACTGATAATTTACATATAGAACAAAGAAAGTAGCAGTATTATGTTGTCGGAACCCAGACGTTGTGAGTTACCCGAAGAGATCTGGCTCCGTTTTCTTCTTCATTGTTGGTAGACGCCTCGAACTGAGCGCCTCATCACCATGAGCTAGTGACTACGACGGGAGTCTAATGTGCACTCTCATCATGGATTCTCTTAGTGTATATACCTAAGTCCTACATCTACCGGAAGTGACAGCAAAATGGACCATGCCAATTCCAGGAAGGAGCAGTTCATCTCAACGCGTCACAGACCAATACTAGCACTAATCTAAACCCATACGTAGCTGGACAGTTCACAGAGTTTCTAGGCTCATATCTCTGGTGCAGGTGGGACCGAGTGTGATCTATAAATCCCCTTACTTTCCTCTTGTCCGGTCTTCGACTCTATCCTCAATCACACAAGGGCCTCTCATTCGAGATCAAGGACACTAACTCTCCTTCCGGCCTCTATTCATACTATGTCTGACCACTCTACATTAAGATAACAGAACATACATTAGGCTCCTACTTATTTCGATCAATTTTTCTAATTCAAATACTTTGGTCACTAACATAACGCGGTAAAGTCTTCTTTAGGACTAGCGCACCGCTTTATCTCTCGCCTTACTGTTAATCCTCAACACTACAATAGTAGGGTTCAACAATGCTAGCTCTTTACCATTCTAGTTCATCCTATCTCCCCGGGTCTTCATTGTGAACATCCTTTTGCCTGGCTTTGCTAATATATCTCCCGCCATTCAATAGCTTCTAACCGACAACTTAAACAGCTATACTGGTCTACTGTGTACCTATAGAATACTCCTATTTTTAGGCCGATATACGTACGAATACTTATGGGAATTAGTGAATAAATTTCTTAGTTCGTAACCCTCTTCTAAGGCTAGAGTAATATAGCTTTCTAATAATCCCTAGTTTCGATAGTCTATATATTATGTGTCGATAAAGCTTACGATATACTTATTATATGGGCCGAAAGTCAGAAATTTACGCGTGACGCTTACTCCTCCATCGTCACTGTCGACTGTACGAATCCGTGGGGATGATACCGTTCATGGCAATATATGCGTACTATTCTAGATGATGTTAGTTAGAAGTCTCTATATTATACTCCTTAGAATGAACGATTTTACTTCTAGTATAAGTATTATCTATTAATATTTCGACGGATATAGAGCCTAGGAGAGTCACGATCGAAAGAACTATTCATTTCGTATTTTAGTAGATTAATAAGAATTCTAAAGGAGCTCCTCGAAGAATATCGTCATTATTATCTAGAACTTATTCAGAATAAAACGTTTATCTTTAAACATTAAGGCGATAAATGAAAAAAGTCTAGAGTAAGAAATAAGAGAAAAATATCGATGATTATCCTCGATGAAACGATAAAATCTTTATTATTAAGAGATCTTTTAGACTTCTTTAAGCCAATAGCCCTAGATTAGTATTCCGATCGAGATATTTCTTATTAACGAGGCTATCTATAACACGGACCACCCGGAATCGGAAAATTCAGCTTAAGCTTATTCATCGTAGATGAATTTAGTTTAGATATCTATATCGTTAATCTCTTCAGTATTAATAATAAAGACTTATCGACTTTATTTTCTAAGCTTCCGCCGTAGTATCTTATTCTTCTAGAAGATATCGATGCCGCTAGCTCAAAACGATCCGAAGTCACTAATCTAACTTATAATGATTAGAACGATAGATATTCCTTTTCTAAAAAATCTATTCGGGAAATAGTGTCCCTATCTACTCTACTTAATATTATCGACGGTGTAGAATCACCTAAAGGCCGTGTGTTGATTATAACGACTAATTATTCGGAGCGCCTTAATGACGCGCTTATACGACCCGGCCGCGTAAATATAAAAGTCGAGTTTTAACTCACCGATAGAAAGATAATGACTTAACTCTTCTACCTTATTTTTAATCGCTTAGATGGCGACCATGAGAATCTATGGAAGAGCGTCGATGGCAACGACCCTAATCCAACGAAAATCGCTAAATATAGAAAAATAGTCGGGCTTTTAGTAAAGACGTTCGTCGTAAAAATGTTAGAGCTAGAGTTTAGCCCGGTAGAAGTGATGTCACTTCTATTAACGAATAAGTAGTCACCTTAGTAGACTGTCGACAACGTGGAGAAATGGATAGAAAAGACCAGGGAGGAAAAAGGGAAAGTGAAAAGAGTGGAGTCTTAGATACTCAGTAAGTAAACGGGAGCAGAGTGATTCCAGTAACGCATATTCGGGATATAAGATGTTAATGTGGAGTGAATAGTTATACAGTACTATAGCGAGGATAGCTTTGAACAAGGAAAGAATAGTCCTTTTAGACGGTTAGAATAGGCAGAGAGTCATATAATACATGCCCGTAAATATAATGTGAGTAGCACGGAGAAGACTAAAGAAGTGCGTCTAGGCGCCCACATATAAGCCGTAGACGGTTAACCCTAACAGAAGCTGTGCTTCTACAGATTGGGAATTGACCTCCATTTACCACTACTACTGCCTACCCCAGACGCTATTGCCACAATTTGCCCTTTAGACGCCAACTAACCCTTAACAATTCTAAAGAATCACTGCAGAGGAATGTTTTCAAAGTGAGTAGATAATTAGCCCACGATCTATTGATTTCTGCATAAAGATACAAAACCAAGAGTGTCACAGAGAGGTGGACAGCCGATTAGACAGGTTTTATCTTTCACCTTCCAACAGTCGACTCCGACATCACCTACTCTTTCCAAAAGCAGGAGCCGATTAGATAGAGGGAAGGTGAGTTGTGCCAAAGCACGAGGCACAGCCAGTCGAATGTTTTCTCTCGGGTAATATCTATAATGAGTACCACTCCATAACTTTACTTCTGTCGACGATGGTACTCGGTATATATATCCCTTCAACTAAAGATCACTCATGGCAAAGTCTCCAGAGGGATTAACTGAGATCGAAGTACCGACCTCCCAGAACTTGCCGAAGCGCAATATACAAGCAATGAATCGAAGCAATACTTCTGTATAAGCTTGATGCTCCTCATTATCGGAAATGGGATTGATGGCGTCGGGAAATAGAATCTCAAAGATGTCTTGAGATAAGTGCTTTACTCTCCCCCATTTAAGGTCAATCTCGTCGCCCACTTCACAGGCAATCCTCGGCCAGGCATTGATCATCCATCGATGGCCACAGTCGAGAGCGCAAGCCATAGTTTCTGCAACTTCGCGACATTCAACATCGTCTAGTCCATACACTGATTACAATTGATTGGCACATAATGACCGCAGAAATAAGTTAGCCACTTCCAAATTTCTGCGAGATGGAATGCGCACTTTTAAGCCGTTCAAGAAGAAAAGATCCAGGATAATCCTCTAACCACTTAGTTAGGATATCCCGTGACTTCGAGGGATCTCGTATCGACCGTTCCATCCGCCCTCGTCAGGTCGTCGACACCAGGAAACTTGTCCCGTTTTGTAACCAAGCTGAAGCTGTTCTCCTCGTGTGGTGAGGACCGTTCCGTCGCCGGCCGCCAGGGCCAGCGTAAGGACATCAAGACAAGTGTCGTCATTTGTGGGGGCACATTCTTTTACGGCTATTAGCAGTCGGCACAGATTAATGGCGATAGATAGCTTATCAATCGGGTATTTAGCGTTATAGGAGAAGATGTTAGCAATAATATTGGAGTATGCTGATGATGGTGTATGTAAGAAGCGTAAGATTCCATGTACAATCTTCGAATTTTGCTTCCGGACCTCTTCGTTTTCAAAGTAAGGAAGTCTGTAAATGAAGTGGTCAAAATTGACCAGGCCTATGACGGAGTCTTGGCTCTGCCCAGGTCCTGCTGCGCAGGGTATGACGATAATCCGGTTCTTGCTCATGTGCCATTCATGGAAGCACCAGGCACGAGAAAACCATCTTACTGAGAATATCTTCGACACAATATCGAAGAGAACATGTGACGTCTCTTACTCAAACACGGATTCGTGTTGAGTTGAGAGACGCTGAAAAGCGTCTGAAAGATGCTCCACTTCCGCCCGTGCTAACTTGATGTCATCGAGTGCAATAAAGACCAGACGTACGTTGGCGAATAAAGTGTCCATAGAATCGATCGCAGAACGCTTTTCCAAGTCATTGATCTAGTCGATGCAAACCTGATCAATCCATATGCCTTCTCGATCGGACTTCCGCATGTCAAGGAGAAAGTTCCAGAGGCTCCCAGATACTGGCATTACCTTAGTAAGCGACTGCGAAATATGGAAGCTATTTAGCGGGTACTGATCGATGCTCTTCCAGGCATAGCTGAGCGCGATAAAGGATGTTATTTTCGTTCTTAGAGGTGGCTGGCTCGTTATTGACATCGCAAGGAGCATACGCAATGAAGTAAACTAAAACGGAGTATCTTTAACTTTGAACCTTTTGATCAGGTCCGGATTCCAAGATTCAATGCGAGAGAGAATCATTTCTGCTTGTCTACTCTATCCCAGGGCGTCTTGTCGGCTGCCAGAGAGAAGTCTTCGTGTTTCTTCGGAAGTGAGGATGTGGAGACTTTCCACTGAGCTCTCGGGCTCCCTATTGAGGCTACGAACCATATAGCAATCAGGTGTAGTCCTGGAGACTATTCCATGATAGCCAAGCTCTGTCACATCCGTTTCTCTACAAATCTGCGAGCAGTAAAGCCTCGACCGATATTTTTGACAGTCTTGCATTGAAATACGCATCTCGGATTCTAGCTTGTGACAATTTCGGCAGAAATGTTTCGGTGAATTCTCCGAAGGTCCCATCCTAACACAGGTTTCGATGTCGAGCTATTCTGGAGTCGTACATTCAAAATGCTTCTCACTGAGGCAAAAAGTTCATGAGGATGGCCTCACCAAAAGTCAAGTGCGCTAGCGCTCCGCGTCACCTACCAAGATATCCGAATCAGTCCTAGTTAGTGCACCTCATGTTCACCTCTAAGAAGGAGAGCGTGATTAGCTAGGCAAAGGTAGACGTCTGCCGCTGATACGCGCAACGCCTCTTACGAAGGATAAACTAAAAGAGGAGATGAAAAGACCATTAGGCGTGCAGCAGATACAGAAGGAATTGAACAGGTTAAAGGCCGCAACAAGTGAGGCGAAAGAAAGTGACCCCGAAAGCGACTTTTCGATCACGAGGAGAGCACCCAAATTACAGATTATCATAGCAGTCAACGCCACATTAAGGCCAATGAATACGATTACTACAAACTTAAAGTTGCAACCACGCGTTTCTAGACACAGTGAGCTTAGTTTAGAATCACGGTGACAAGAGACAATGACATTAACTCTAAAATATACTAACCTTCGGGAAGGTCTTCATACACCAGGTTGCGAAGCCGACCGAGATCTAGATCGACTCCGAAGCCGTGCCTCAATTATAAGAAGAAATTCATGTCCATCAAGTAATTCGCCAAGAGGCCAACTCAGTCCCTGTCGAACCCAGTTCAGTGCCTCAAGCGGCTCAGCATGATCAACGAAAAAGTTTGTACAGACGGACGAAATAACCCCGCTTGTGTCATCAGGATCGAAAAGGTTACCACGAAGCTCAGCATTTTTGACATATTCGATGGGCGATTCCTTCATGACATTGTTCGCATTATCACGAATAAAGCCTATGGGCATCGAGGTGATACCACCTAAGAGACAATGAGTTCTAAAGTCATAACCTAAGGGAGTTGTGTGCCTCTTACTTCCAAAGGCCTTTACAGCCGCTAAGCAGGCGGCAGGGTGTGAACTCATGAGGCCGTAGATGTTGTCGTCGTCTCGCCGGAGGCAATTTAGCAGGCCGACTACAAGTCCGCGCTCCCGATAGTCGCCGTGTACAACAAGTTATATAATCCAGCATACTGTTTTATTCTTAACTCTCCACCGGCAGGCAAACGCATTCCCTGCTAGATAACCCTCAACGATGACTTTTACGTAGGAGCAGTCGACATTTTCGGGCAGGTATTGGGTTCGTAGACGGTCTTTGCTAAGCTTCACGCGACTTCCTATCCTTATGATTAGACACATAACTGGAAAGGTCCTATGCACAACTCACCTTATTTAGGTACTGATCGAGAATGCGTAGGATCCGTTCCCCATATTCCGTAGTTTTCGTTGAACAAACCGGCCGCTTCCGTTAACATGGCATCCGTGACTTCGCGTCCGTCAAACGTCTCAAAGAGTTGCTTTGCCATAGTTAGTCTATAAGATTTCTCAATAAATTCTACAGAAGACTCGGTGCGGAAGTCGACTATCTTTCGAGAAGGGTGAGAGGACGACATGGTGGGAGCGGGAAGGCCATCTATATAATCCCCAGGCGTCACATTAGCGGCAAGGCAAGGGATTAATGCCGGGGATTATGTTAGGATGTGCAAGGCCGCAATCAGAAAAACAGAGGCTAGTTCACACCTCTACGACCCAGAGAGCCTTTTCGCGGGGCTGGAAAATGGCTAATCGAGCTTAGCAAGCTCGCCCTGCGAGGGCAGTTACTGACGGAGACCGAGTTGGGGATGCCTAATTAATCACATATTGTCGTTTACAAATCTTTAGATCGAGCGCATTTTCAAGCGGATAAGAATACGGGCTAACAAAAGTTAACGAGTCATCTCCGGCAGCGCGAAACCAGCCACTAATTTCAATTCTAATATCACATAGTCAAACAAATATATCCCCAGGCCAGGCATCAAGAACTAAGATCTTTTCCTGCGAATAACCTCTACCGCTTTTTGGAACATATCTCAGGACCCGTCGAAATGACTAGATTGAAAGCGTATGAAGGAAATGAAAAGATAAATCACGCCACATGTGAAAACCTCCTCCTCAGACGGGTTGTAGGTTTTGTTCTGGAGCAGGGCGGCAGTCCAGTTGTCTTCGGCTTTATGTAGCTGCGAGATGCGCGCCTTAAATATCAGTGTTCGTACATACCCAACTTTGTCATCGACATCTAGTTCAACAATCGTGCCGTAGATGCCCAAAAGCTCGTTGATTAAGCAAGCAGCTTTGTCGAAACGACCCTACCTAACGTCGATCTCCGTCAAGGACAGAAGTAAGCGCCTAAGACTCCTCGAGTACTTTCCGCTGGCTCTCTCGCAGTTGATCTCATATTCTATCATCTCTCTTCCTCGGGCAAGGTATTGCGACTACAGTTCTAACACAGAGTTTATACTTTGTTGTACATACTCCAATTCGCAGTAAACGTCTAAGAGATGACATTTAACGAGTGTCCGTTTCGATTTTGGAAGTCCAGTTATAAGGAGGCAGCCTTCGAAGCAACGCCTAGCTTCGTCAAAATGGCCTTCTCCCCTAAGAATCCGACCAGTTATTCGTAGCTGATCGCATAAGAGGTGTAGCTCACGATCCGAGAGGGTGTCACCTGAAGGCTGCCATTTGTTGCACTCCTCACGTACGTTATGAAAATCGAACCGGTATATTTAATTATTGGCTTAGGAAAGGCTGAGAAGTCCGAGAACACGACGGGATTCATCGTTCAAGTCAAATGTTCGACTGTTGAGAAATTCTGTTATTGCGCGTTCTAATTCGGAAATGCGCCCTCTTGAGCGAAGTGTGACGCTTATTTGGTAAATAATGTCGGCATACGTCTGTGACTCAGCTAGGTTTGGGTGTAGACGTGTCGCCATTATGAGTAAATTTTCTTTATCGCTTAGTTCTTCGAATTTAGAGGCGAATAGTAAGGTCTCGACTATATCTTTCCCGCGGGGGGGCTCTAGGCCACATTCTATGAACAAGCGTAGTATATAACGTAAAGGGTCGAGCAATTGTCTTCCGGAAGGAAACCTTTCATGGTCTAAGTAACATGAGGGGCAAGGATGACATAGGAACTCACAAAGAGTCTGCATCTAAACCGCGCGGAAAGACATAACAACAAAGCGTAAACGCTTAGCGAGCCCAATAATCTTTTTTTTGCCTAAACAATGCTCGAGCTAATTCATCTTAGCAGAAGTAAGTGCTATCGCGTAGACTGATTTAAGACCGTGAGATCAGATGATCAATGGCTTACTTGAAGACTACTTCTTCTGATAGTAGAGCGGCAAGGTCCTTATCAACACCGGCAGCCTTTGGCGTGACTTCATAGTGTTTGCCATGCATGTCGATTCGTCGTTGAGTGATTAACGCACGATCAAATAAGATCTTTGGAATGCGGTCGCCCATGGCGTGGAACAACAGAAGCAGCGTTGTAACACGTGAACTAATAAATGAAACACTTAACTGGTTCATGGTGGAGGCAGATCTAATACACGGGTGAGGAGGATCTCTAACTGTTTCAGGCGTTATTATTTAATCAATGGTCATTGCCACCGTCCTTACCGTAAGGCGAAGGTTACTCCCGGCTCTGGTATAAGTTTGCGTTGGTGGTAAACACGAAGGAAATGGTGGCGTTCGCTTTGCTTCGAATGGAGTGTTGAACTTAGAGAACGTGATCGAGTGGCTCCGGAATAATAACATATTTATATCGAAGGCCTACGTATATTTCATTAGTTCTATCAGTGGTCAGCTTTAGCTTCTTCTCTCTGACTGGGGGAATTACGAAATCGTCGAAGATGCGTCGGCTTCATACATCATGTGAATGATGAGACCGGGTACTGTGTAGCTAGATCTAAAACAGTCGTCAAAACCGTATTTCAAATACTTATCGGTTATAAGCGTCTCGAGAATGTGCTGGAAGCCTTCTTCGGCGATACTCAAAAGATAAGTAGGCGACAGTGGATCTAAACCGATTTCAGTCACCTAAAGGGGCCCGAGGAAACATCAGGGAACCAACTAAGGAAGAAGAGTTCGGTAGCCCGACAAATATTCCATCCTCTTTCGACCAGCTCCTAGATAAGGACATTAACTCTCAGTGCTTAACTACGCAGTCTCCTACGGTCAATCTCTCGGAAGGACGAAATATATTGTGTGAGTCGATCGACCACCTCGTATAAGATCCCTCTACTCTCCAGAAGCCCGCAGTATAAAAGGAAAAGAAAGACTTAGAAGTAAGAAAACGACCTCTAAAGAGCGCTTACTTTAAGTGACGCTTCCGTCAACAGCGCGAGTTTCTCCCCAACCAAAACGAGATAATCATTTAATTTTAGAACCCCTCGGTTAGGCTCTCCTATAGCATCGACTTTGCTATATCTAGTAAGAGATCGAACAATCTCTTCGTAATTCTTTGGTTCACCGACGACGCTGTCTTGTCTGCTGCGCCACTAGCTGGTCTCGGGTATATTGAGCACGAACGAGTCTCTAGCTTTTAGCTTCTTCGTTTGTTCCCTCGATGACTTCAGATACTTCGATCTTTCGTTGCCAGGGGGCGTTTGTATCGCTTTCCTTTTGGGCGCGACTTTGCAGGGCGAAGGTTCGTAGGGAATTTCGACATAATTTTCACGTAGGAAGACTCGCTGTTGGACACTTAGGCTGGGGCAACAGGCGCAATGATTCCATAAGAAGTTTAGGTAGCTCTTTCGTACGACCACAAGGTCGGTATCTATGGCCATTAATTTCTAGTGGAAGGCAATGAATAGAAGAGGGGAAACGCGCAGGTTTTTCGATGATGCTGCTCGCACCGCATTGTCTAGGCATTGCTCAAGCAAAAGCGTACCCGCTAGGGGCCCCGGGTCGGCGCCAGCTGCCGCCACGGACGCGGCTCGGCCTTCAACCAGCACACACTTCGGGTGCACCCACGCTTGACCTTTTACACCTTACCACACTAGCACCTCCATGGAGGTGTGTCGACTTACTCCACACGTCCATCTTTGGCTCATTTTCACGTCGACGGCGTAGTTGTGATATTGCAGCACGTTCCGGGGGCTTATTTCGCGAGCCTGCAGCTATCCCAGGGACATATAATCCATGCATCATTTCACGCCCTGTTTGTATGATTCTCTCACCGGTTTTGTTGCCTCGCACTCTGATGCGATGTTTGATGCCCTGTCACGACCTTATATTCATTTCCCAGGCCAGACGACTGCATCTGCGCTTAACTTGTCCCCCGTCACGGGCACTCCAGGCGCCAACCGACGCATGGGACCATGGGTCAGGATGAAGACGTTTTAGATGTCGCGTCCGTTCTTACTATGGTCAACTCCGAATTCACACTTAATGTGAAAGTCGTCACCCAAGTTTTCGAGCGGGATGGAGTGATTCCTAGCGCCGAGACACCGTCCAGTAATGAATACTCGTAGCTACCTCCACCTATCTTTTAGTACGCTTATGTTTTCCCCACAAGGACACCGCCTAACCGATCCAGGCGAACGGCTGGGCTCATTGACGCTAAATACACCCTCGTACGAGTCGCTCTCGAGGACCATGGGACCGTGGACCTTAACGAGATGGCCCAGGACCTTAACGAGACGATAGGAAATATCCTTCAGGTGCCCAGCATCGCACCCCTCAACGATGGATCATAGGAAATTCTCGTTCGGAACGCCTATCTCCCCACTCTACAGCGTAAGATCCATGAGAGGCCCATTCGCTTAACTCTAAAGTCAAAATACTGCCCACTTGAACCTCTCCCCGAGGACGTAGAGTGTTAGGGGCTCGACAAAGCCCGAGAACTTTATACCCTTTGGTTTTTAGAAAGAGTAATTAGGATTATTCAGAAATCCTGGGCCGTTGCATAAATATACTACCGTCATGTCTTAAAGCATCACCATCGAAGGATTCGGACTCTCCTGGGCGGGATGGATACGATGAGCACCATGGAGGATTCGATGTTAGAATGCCTATAAACGGAGAGGAGAGACGAGGATATGAGAAGGCTATTGATGCTCATCCGCCGTCGCTTATCTAAGTTTCAGACCGGTCAGTCTCTACGACACTTATTCCGGTTAGGCGACATTAAGGCCTAGTGCCTGGTTACATCTGCACCCCGGACATCGATGGTGGTCGATTAGGAGCTCTGTTAGTGACTCATTCCAACCCTATGCATATGAACGCTAACCATTTCTCCAAAAGTATTGCATAGGCTCCGCAACGTGCGTCAATTTTATTGACGCCACTGGTTAGTATCCGGACGCTGATCCATATTTAGACTATGGCTCTAGCCAGCCGTCAATAGTCCTTTCTTCAATATCTAGTGACATGTCCCTATGGAATTGGACGCCTTGCCATCCCTCAGGGTAGGTTGTCTTATCACCAAATGATTGTGGCTTCAGGCATCGATGGACCCTACACTATGCGCGGTCTATTGAATTCATTACTGGAAGTCTGTAAAACCTCTTAGACATGGAGTCCGAAAAGTCAGCCGAATAGGTCCATCAGCTATAACAACCACGTTCTCGTAATCGACTCTTAAACATCCCTTATCCGCTCCAACGGTTCCGTCCACCATTCGATATGGCACTACCCAGTCTGCCCTATACGCATGGCCATGAAACTCAAATTCCTAATTCGAGGTCAGGTTTGAACCTCCAGGACCGATTTTCATGGACCACCCATCCAGAGAACCACGGTACCCTGAATATTACGTTCACGTCCACCATTCCTGAAGCTATCTAACCAGAGGTCACTTCAGAGCATCCACCTGAGTCTGCCACTACCGTCATAGCGGATACACCATATCAAGATACCCTACAGCAGGAGAAAGGCCCTTTTCCGGCCTTGGAAATCCGGAGCAGCTTTCAAGAGTCGATCGAAACACTGATGAAGGCGCTGGCAGCAAACTTTCCCCCTCAGGAGTCTATAATTAAATGCGAGATTTCGCGGCTATCCAACATTTTCTCCAGCATGGGCCTAGAAAGCGACATATATATCGCTCTAGCACTATACAATACTCGGCAGACGGACGATTTACGTGCTCCTATCCCAGAATTTAGCGAGCTACGGGACCATATCTAGCGGAAGACCATAGGAGAATTTGAACCGTCCGAATTGGTCTTTTACCTACTGATTGAAGTGGTGATTATGGACCTCCGGGTACCCCACACAAAGTTACCCCCTCCAGGAGGGCCTCGCTGGACCTATGAACCCTTAGGGATCATCGATGCACAGACTCGATCTACGCAGCTGACCAAGGTCCTCACTTTTACGGATTATTTTGACCTAGATCGACAGGCTCGAGATATCCTTCCCCGGCTCCGAGACATAGAGCGCACATAGGCACGGGACAGAAGCACGCCTCAGGTGATCAGAGAGTGGGAGAAAATGTGGACTCAAGTCCTAAGTTTACACTTACTTTGAAAAGAATGCTGCATAAGCGGAACAAATCTCTAAATATCAACCTAATACCATCAACAATGTTCTGCACAAATCCACTTATCTAACAAAGATGTACGCTAGCGTAATTGAATCCTCTATAATGTCATAATCCCTTTTTATTTTATCCGCACAGTTCCTCTTACCCATTCTCACGGTGAACCAAGTTTAGGAAGCCCTACGTAACAAAGAGGTTACCAGGTCCCAACAGCTTTCTAGCTTGCTCGAGAGATGATATCCTCAGAATTAAATTTTCACCATGTCAGCCGGTTTACCCAGTGGACTTTTTCGGACCACCTTTCCTATCAATAATCCTACCTCCGACGCCGAAGTGATCCTAGAGTTTTAAAAAGGTTTAGGTCGTGCAGCACCGGTCAAACTAAAGACGAAGCTAATTTGGGACTCCAGTCTACGCCGCGCAAAGCAAGTCAATTTCGGACCCTGCTAGCATAAGAACTTACAACCTATTCTGGAGGGTTTAGAGCAGTCACATTCTCAGGCAATCCATACCGACAGTCCGTTTAATAGAATTATGGAAACGGTGTGAAGAGCACTTAGATATACCCCCAAACCGCCGAAGACGCCGAAGACAGGTCACCTTTGCAGACTGATCACAATCCTAATGCAGTATATCGTGGGAGACTACCGCATAAGCCAACGGTTTCCAAGATCTATTCGAATCGATTTCGACACTATAACTACACGATGAATTTTGTAAATGGTGATCATGGCTCTCGTGGGCTGTGCGATACTCTCTCGACTCTTTAGAGATTTCCGCCTACAATATGCCACTCAAGACTGGGGAAGATAACTCTACTTCAACCGTCTCTACGTTTTAAAACCTTACATATGGCCCTCGAAAGACCGGAAAACCCAGCTATGAATGGTTGTTCTAGCGCTCCATTTCTTTAAAGACCGCGCTTTACAAGTCTTGATACCTTACTAACTAGGCAGCATCATAGATGGCTTTTCGTTAAGATTAAACTACGGTTAGTTCACCTCGAGTCCATATCTAGCTCGTGTTTAACCGGTATAAGCGCTATAATGAAGAAAGTTTGCATCTAGATTGTTCTCCAACTAGTTCAAGACTTCACCATCTTCAAGGCTACAGCTACGACGCATGTATCCCAATTTACCCATAGAAACATCATAGAAGCTTTCTACGCTCATATCTTAAATCTCTCAATAGATTTTCACCGTGCTGAACCGTTCAGCGAACTTTTAGCAGCCCTCGAACCTAGTGGAGCTTTCAGCAATATTATCCAGGAGCTGGCCTCTAATCTCATTTCCCCGCTGGTCGATCTTCTCGTCGCCACGATATACCTCTATTAGACTAACGGCGGTCATTCCGTGCTAGTAAAGCTATTTCTAATCATTTTCTATTTATTAGTGGCTCATCAAGGTTCTTCCTGGACCTCTAAGCTATTTCGACATCATATCACAATGGACCGGAAAATAACACATTTTCTATAGGAGTCAATTCAGCACTACGAAGTTATTTCATTATTTAGCCGATAAAAATCTCGGGTTAATGCATTCTCAGGTGTATTGCACGAGTTTCTTAGTGCACAATTCCAGTATCACAAAGGTTACTATTTAATTACTAACGTCCGGAGAATATTATTACGGCTGGGACTACTAGTAGCAGCTACTATCTTTACAGCGGACGTTGTTAAAGGCGCATCGTCACCGGGCAGCTTCATTAGCCTCGTTAGTTATTGGTCTTCGATATCAGACACTCTTACCGAACTAACGACGACCTATAAGGATATTAGGGAAAGACTAGTCTCGATCGAAAAACTCATCTAGATTTTCCATACACAGCCGACTATCGTGAACGGGAGCGAGTAGCTATAGATATATACCGGAGATATTTCATTCGACCGAGTCTCATTCTCGTACGACAGTAAGTATATCGTAATCCGCAATATCATCTTTATAGTCCTAGGCGAATCGACTATTACCATAGTTAGAGAAAGTAATAGCGGTAAATTCACTCTCGTAAATCTCTTACTTCGCATAGACGATGTGAAAGAAGGTATCATTAAGATCGATAATTAAGATATTCGAGATATCGCCCTCTCCAGCTTAAGGGAGTAGATCGGTATCACTCTATAAAATATTTAGATGTTCGACCGGTCGATCATAGAAAATGTTCGATTCGGGAGACTTAAAGCATTAGATGAGGAGGTCATTAAAGTATACGATGTAGTAGGACTACACGATGGGATTATGAAACTTCCCGAGAAATACGAGGCCCGGGTCGGTGAAGGGGGCATCAGACTTAGCGGCGGGCAGTGCCAACGGATCGGAATCGCTCGAGTCATGCTAAAAAGGCTTAAGCTCCTCGTCCTTAACGAACCTACATTAGCTATCGACTCTCGCACTGAGATTCGCATCCTAAAGGCTTTCCGCAATCTATGTCGCGGCCACACTACGCTTATGATTACCCACCGGCTCTCAACCATTAAGGACGCTGACCTCATCCTCGTTTTATATAATGGTTCTATCGTGGAAAGAGGAAACTACGCGGAGCTATTGGAATAACGAGGGAGATATTCTGAACTCTGGTCCTTATAAACGTCTCCGGAAGCCAACTAAAATTCCTACGTCACAGAAGATATTTTATACCACTATTTATACTATCATAACGTCGAGTTCATCCTCATCACCGAGATATATCACCACATAACTCTCCCTTTCCTAGGATCCTCGCTAGGTCGCCGTGTAATTTAGAGACTAGTATCTAGTAATACTAGCAGTAGACGGGGCGTTCAGCGTTCATTGCATTCGAGTATAATATCTTCTTTATCTTTATCATTATCGCTCGGGATTCGGAACACCTTAATGACGCATCGAAAGGCCGCTTAGAGGAGCCGAAAGACCGCTTAGAGGAGTAGAAATGCTCCTCCTAGGATGGCGATAAATGGTCCTATAAAGAAAAGTGCTATGGTAAAGAGTAGTTCCCCGATAGATATAATTTTAGTTGAGTTTGTTTGGCTTTAAATAAAAGGGACAGCATCTATTTTAATATCTTCCCTCGTGAGGCTCGTCTACTTCCTAGTAGCTCCCTGCTGTAACCGAACACGACAGCGCTCTCTGCCGGTCCACTGAGAGATAGAGTTTCTGGCAGTCGTTCAGGATAACGCCACCTAGGAATGGTAGCCTACACGGTTTGGGGAGGAACCGATTACTTCGGAACCTAATCAGAAGCCATGTGAATCCTTCATGGGATCGACATCTAGCACTAACAGTCCTAGCTTATACACGGTGCATTTACCTAGGCTGGCTAAGATAGGATTTAAGTAAAACCACAACTTTCCCTCCTTCCTGTGAGTCTTCATTGGTGCAACTTATGCTCGAGTACTGCGAAAGTGTAAGCCCGCGAGCACCACCACACAGCCCAAGTACTCTCCATTCTCTTCTTTCCATTAGCATTCCCTAAGACATTTCACGTAGAGTCGGACACTCATAGTTTTATATCCTCTCACTTCCTCCTTGTTCCTTGAGCGCCATAGAGACACGAAATCTAGAAAATAAGATGGCCGGCATGTTCAAATAGGTATTCAAAGTCCTTTACGACGATAGCGCTGAGCGTTTACTTAGATAACAGCAAATCTCAATCTACTTTACACCCACCATCCATGACCCTCAACAAACGACCAAGCGAGGACAATCTAGAAAAGGAGTATCAAGCCCGAGCAGATCAGAAAGACGAGGAAAGGAAAAAGAAGGACCACTAAGCTAGGAAACCCATTCGTCAAAGGAGGAGAAGATTAGGGAATCTCTATTACTGCGCATGTAAGGACGACAGCCCGGTATATAAGAAGGGAGAAGGCTCAGTTTGTGGGGTTTACAGTCATCATAGATGTCTAGAGTGTATCGTAAACTCTAAAGAGGAATGAAAAGTAATACCACGCCTTCAACGCCATCAAGATGCTCCACTCTTTCTTAAGTCGATAAATCTACCATAACAAGTTTCTCTCTTTAGGGAGTACGTAATAATATAAATCATTGATTACCATACTTTTTCTTAATTGCATTAAAAAACCAGTGCCGGCCCAGTGACAGCTTCACATATAGTTCCTTCAGGACAATACATCGACACGTCCACATTGCTGGGGAAGTCAAGACAAACATTGTCTCGTCGAGGATTCGGTGTAATGATAGCACAGCTAGCCGCAGTAATTTGAAAGGGGATGACTTCTATAGTCGTGGTAGTTGCTGAAGGTACGGGAATGGTCGCGAAGAGCGTGGCCAATATCGCTGGAGATCTCACTTAGCTCTGGCGAAATACCGTATCGGGTAAACTTCGCTCAACACGTGATATAACGCCGTTCGGCGGCATTATTTCACATGGCTTCCTCGGGCGTGGTTGTTTGCCTTTCCCTAGGACTCTATACCGTAAGTGTGAGTAGGAATGAAATGAAGTTTAATGTGGAAGCGAGCCATATAGAAAACTAGCTAGTCCTCTGCGGGCGTAGCCCGCGCTGAAGCTTTCCTATGGAACGGCTCGTTCGCTCTCTTAAATGCCCTCTAAGAATCTCACTTCCGCGAATTACTCCTTACCTTCCGACCAGGTAAATAATTACCTTCGATTGTGCCACTAGCTCTCGTTCACCCCCTGTCGTCGTATTTCTATATCAACTCAGCAATAGATGAACGCACAGGCTGCCGGTCTAAGAGCCGATAAAGGCACCTAATTAGCAACGCCGTCGTCCTCGGCAGTGAAGCTCCATAAGGTGTCAAGGTCCGGTAGCACATGGCAGCAGCGAAATTGATTGATTAGCTGCAAATTCTGCGTAATCGATGATGGATCGTTAAGGATGTTGCTTAGGGGCGTGAGTACGTTGGGCCCGAACCCAGTGAATAAGTCGTCTGCGGCGGCCTGCGCAACCGTGCTGAGACTCACATCTAATGCACACGCGAGAATTTGTAATTGGTCGGGTTCGTCGTTAGCAGCTCTGAGGGCGACTATAATAAGGTTTAATTGTATTAGCTTTATGTCGACCCCGTAGTTTTCGATTAAGAAGTAGTAAAATACCGTGAAAATTCGTAGAAAATAGAAAGTACGGAGAGGAATTGCTAATACTAATCTACGAGCCGTATTGTAAATGAAGCCCTTGTAGAGAAGTCGCGACATCGAGAAAATCATTGACGGTGGTGACATTACTGTTCCACTGATTAATTGCGCCTATAATGGCGGCCTAGCTCGGGGCGCCGTTCGAACAACCGTTGGGAGAGTTGCGCTTTGCGAATCGTAGAGAGGGAGTAGCGGCAGAAGCACCGATGAGGCTAAGGGCCAGGAAAGATAAGGTGGCGATAATCTTCATCGGGTATTGTCCAGTGAATATAGAGTAAGAGTACTCGTTAATCTATTAAACATAAAAGTTGTTGTACTGTGGAAGCGATAATGGAAGCGAGAAGAATCAAAGGTGTTATACATTGAAACTTCTTATAATGCTATCTCAGTCCCTTTTTTACAGCTCAACGAAGGGTGCAGGGAAATTACCCGCCGAATTTAGCGGTCGGCGCCGCCGCTTTTGGAGGCTTTCTTCCCTCGACGCTAAGATCGCCCCCCTGGTCATGGCTTAATGGATTCTGAATCTTCCGATAGTGATGTCTCCATCAGTAGAGTGGATGAATACATATTTGCCACTCCTTTGACATCACCTGTTCCCCTCCCTGACCCTCTATCAAAGTACGCCCTGGAATTACTCGATGCCGTTTAAGGCCGTCTTGATGAATTGCATCGCATCGCAACACATAAGATTAAAAGGTGTGATCTTCTCAAAGCAAACCGCGCTAGCGGGGACGAGAAAATCCGCCGGGCACGGGAGAAGCAAAATAAGAAGTGGGCTGTAATTATCGATGCTCGCCAACGTCGAGACGCCAGAATTGAAGCTCGTCGTAAACGGGAAGATGCTGCGTTTTCTCAATTCTTTGACAATGAACTTGAAGATGAAGAGAATGTATGTCTACGCCATCCACCCACTATCGCAACAGCTGACTTATAACAGGATCTCCGTCGCCGCTTGAAGCGCCTCAAACGAGGCCTCCCACCGGAGGAACCTCCCGGCCTAGATCGTAGAACTATATTCTCGTCGTCCATGTCATTTCCTGGTCCCTCGCTGTCGACTCTTCCACCGGCACCTAAACGTCATTAAGTCGGCCAACCTTGTCAGCATAATGCACTAAAAGTACGTCTCTTTTATATCTAACTGGCCCTTGGTCTCCAAATTGCCTCCCAAGGAATACCGGATCCTTGGATGAGAGCGAGAGTCCTGGACATCGATTTTCATAGGGACTGTCTTCGTGAGGGTCCCTGACAAGCCGGCACCCCGCAACTGATCGAGATTGTCTCTCCGGATGCTTGCCAAAACCGAGATCAAGCCGAATCCCGTTCCGATCGGGGTTTAGTAGCAGAAACAGATTGAAAGCAGCATCACCGTGCAAAGGATGGGGTGGATAGACAGTGTAAGGTATAGACCCTAACTCGCCTGGAGGGTTAACCGTGTCGACCGGATGATTTCTTCAGTCGGTGGGTAGTACATTTTAGGATACGTGTTGTTCGTCGGATCTATGTAGATGATCCGAGCCCAGAATATGCTCGCAACGGAGGTCGTTAACGATGGGACCAGCCATGGCGACTGACTCTGAGAATTTGTGGGAGAGTACCGGCTCAGCCATTGGGACAATAGAGGCAGTGTGTCCGCGTAATACGGCGTGGTGCTGTTGAAAACCTCTTACTTGGTCCTTTCTCCGGTGCAGCTGCCACTGACGAGTTGGATGCTGCTGCGTGTCACTGTCCACTTTCCCTGACACCTTTCTCGCTGGATCTCGAACATGTATGCGGCCTGTCTGAACGCGAGGCTAGTAGATTCAGTCATATTGCTATAGATATTCAGTCCGTATACATTTCCCTTGAAGAAGTCCATCAGGCAATACGGCCCCGGATTCTCGCTGTGTAGACTCTGTAGGCCATTGATCAGCCCGATTTAATAGCCATTGTAGAGGGAAATCGTCGACAACCCGGTAGGGTTATAGGAGTGGTTGAGCGCACTCGTCTAGAAGGCGTCATTATCTCTGTAGGACGAGGTGGATGCATTGTATCGAGCGATTATTTCATCCACTGCCGCTGAGATGCTCCAGGAATCCCCGTCGGTCAAATTCTGCTGAATGGAAGTTAGAAAGTCCGGAGAAGGTAAGTCCAGCAACGCCGTGGAGGTATTGTCTAGGAGGATCGTGTTAAATCCGTACACTGCTGGGAATTGCGGAGTCGAACGAGCACTCGAGGATACTACCATATAAGGAACGCTGGCGTTGATCATATAATAGATCGAGTTGTTCATTACATTAAACGTTCCCAAGGGAGGCGGCACGAGACCGTAGTACCGTGGAAATTGGCTCTGGATCTCTATCGTACTCCTTTCTCCAATGAGCTTTTTATATGCCACGCTGAGTCCTAGAGGGAGGAGGGTGAGAAGGACGAAAGATGTACGCCAGCGTACGTCCGCCTTATTTAAAAATACACTCTTCTTGATAATTGCCTCGTAGTTCTGCAGCGTCGGGGTCTTTCGTCGGGTCTCAAGGATGAGGAAAAAGGTAGGCGCAAGAATACCGGTGCACTCATTCATCAAGCTCAACAACAAGCCTGTGACGACCAGCTAGTTTATCAATCCCAGTTTCCAAGATAGGCTCAATGCGGGTCCGATCCTCGGCTGGATTGTAAGGATCGACAGCACGAAGCATATCAAGCAGCCGAGCAGGGCGAGTAAATGACTCTTGTCGCAGTACCATCGTCGTTTTGGCACTCCAAGCGAGTTTGAACTTTCTGATGGGATCTGGGAGTACATCATGGGGTCAAGGTCAAAAGAGCAACTAAGCATATGATTTCTTCCTAAAGAAGACGCCGCGTGTTTAGTATCGTGATGGAATGTTTGCACAAACGAGAGTGGAATAATATAAACAAGGCTTTTATGTCTCTTAGATTTTAAACCCCAGAAATTGACCAACACAGGAGACGCTTAGCTCGAACACTACAGAGGTACAAGATCCAATGCTGGCGCCTTAACTTTCTTAGCGCTAGTGTCGCCAGCGAACCATCCACACAATATAAGCGCCCACAAAGCATTCATGAGTTTCCCAAAACCCGGAAGTCGAATCTCCAATTTAACCCTGAGAAGGAGATGTTGCTGTTCTATATATATCTAAATAAGCGCCCACAGTCCCAGGCTTTAGTGGCGCAGGAACCGGCACAGCTAGTGCTTGGTAATGGCTTGGCTCTGCAATATCTTACCCTGTGACCATCCACGTCTCACCATACCAACGCGATTCCCCTCTGCAACACCATGCGCGTTCGGGGTAATTGTAAATGGAGCCCTTGCAGAGAAGTCGCGACATCGAGAAAATCATTGACGGTGGTGACATCACTGTTCCACTGATTGATTGCGCCTGCGATGGCGGCCTGGCTCGGGACGCCGTCCGCACAACCGTTGGGAGAGTTGCGCTTTGCGAATCGCAGAGAGGGAGTAGCGGCAGAAGCACCGATGAGGCCAAGAGCCAGGAAAGATAAGGTGGCGATAATCTTCATCGGGTATTGATATTGAGTAAGAGTACTCGTTAACCTATTAAACATAGAAGTTGTTGTACTGTGGAAGCGATAATGGAAGTGAGAAGAATTAAAGGTGTTATACATTAAAACTTCTTATAATGCTATCTTAGTCCCTTTTTTACAGCACTAAACCGAATCAGAATTTAATGTACTGGGCGTAGACTTTCACACATGGACTGCCGCTATTTAAGGGACTAAAATGGGACCCATTTAGGACCAAAAATGGACCCGTTTAGGACCCCAAAAAAACCCCGAGGCTGCCCGAAAGGGAGGCACACTGCCCATAACCAGTGTGACAAGGTCGAATTTGGGCAGTGGCGAAGATTATGCTTAATACGTGATGGCTCCATGAAATGGCCATTCCTTGATACTGCTTACGATCGTGCCTCAACCCAAAGCTACCGTATACTTACGTCCCTCAATAACTAACTCTTTCATCTCGCGAAAAGTCGCCTTAACTTCCTCGACAGGGGGCCTCCATGATCCATTATCGCCAAAGGTTTCTAAACGCTTTTTCGACATTTCTCTTTCCTCAACACATATCCTCGTATTATTGAAGAATATCTTGCCCCGGCCAGTTTCTTTCCAGTTCCATCCGGGTTTCATATTCCACATCTTGTCGAAAACTTATTCCTCTAGAGAGGTTCTTTACGGGGGACTCCGTCGCACTAGGAAGCTAAACGGCTATCGAGCTCGTTCTTACCGGGCACCCATTCTTTCTTTTCTCTTTCTTTTCTTCTGGTGACGCCATCCTACAGTATATAAGTAGATAAACGAAAAAGAAGAGCGTCTCAATTTATATACCTCTCTAAATTAACAATAGTAGCCGACAGAGAGAAAGTTTATTAATAATTTCCATAAATTCTACGAATAGATTCTCTACTATCGATACGCTGCACTTACTTTAGAGGCTAAATAGAGCTAATATAGATACAGGCGCACTTCTTTATATTTATCGAACGAGCATTCGGGCCTAACTTTCGTCCTAAAATAGCTCTTAGAATCCTTTTAGGCACCAATAAACTATTCGGCCACGGATGAATTAATTCCCGTCGACTAGATCCTTTTCCCTGGGTCTGCCTAATAAGAAATTAAGTATATACGTATCTATCACGAACCTACCCTAACGAGCTTACCGTTCCCTCCTAGTATACCTAGTCCTCTACCCGATTTAGGTAAGAGAATAGATAGTAGACGATTCGGACGCGAGGCTACGAAGACAGGAGACTGCCGACTATAGCGGTATTACACACGTGATGAAGAGGGGAAGCCATAAGAAGCTTCTCCCACCCGTTTCGGGTGGGAACTGGCTCTTCTTTCTTAGGCGTTAAGTCGTTATTAACAGAACGTACGCTAGATACAAACAATCCTAGTTACTACAGTTCTCAGTGCCATTATGCCAATTTACGGCGACGATCCTAATAGTATCCGCTAATGCCTTCCTACTCCAGTCTTCTTCATTAAGACACCACCACCATCTTGAGCACTCTATAAGCAGCTACAGTATAGCCAATACAATGCTCCTCTCTACACTAATTTCTCCACCCCTTGTTTTAAATAGTCCTTTCCGGTGTAGATCATTCCCTCCGGCTCTTAATAAGCTCTATCGCTATTGCGTATTTTCTTTACGACTTCTCTTTCTTCCTGGACTAAGGCGAAGCATGGACAGCAGAGTAAGCCGCAAAAATCGAAATAAATATTACCTAGTAGTCTAAACCTCTTTCTGAGATTATGACGACTCGCGTCTTAGATGCACGATAAGAAACCACACTAAATAAGAAAAGCCTAAGCGCAGCACTCAAGAAGAAGACATTAGTTAAATATTCCGGCAAAATGAAGATGTTCTCACCTCGCGATTGAACCAGGTGAAATCTAAGAGTCGTCGGTTCCGAAGACGGGCTTAAGTCTTTCCATAGAGGAAGTAGGGTAGAAGCCATCTAAGTACACCTATGCTCCTCGTTAAAATTAACTAGTTTATTCATAAGGCTAATTATCTAGATATATATATCTCATCGACGAAAGAAGAACCGAAGAAAGGATACTCTTAGTTCGACATTATTTCACATCTCCTAGAGGAAATTAGTCGATTATTAACTTAAGCCTTTAAAGGCAATATAGAGAGATAAGTGACAATGAATAACTCTAAGAAATTCGGAACTCTACCACGTTGATATAGAATTAAAGAAGGGTTATACTCGAGATTTACTAGCATTCTCCTAGATAAGAGAGGGGCCTTTTTAAGTTCCTTTTACGTCCCAGGGGAAATTTGGGGAGCCTAAAAGGGAGCTCACATTTACTGGCATAGAATTCTCTAAATGGATATTTTTCGACGTATTATTTAGGTGTCGAATCCCCTCTTAATCCTATGATAGTCTCTTTAGTGGTGATGCTATAGAGAATATACTTATTCCTAATGCAGTTCTCTTTTATCGTTCCGTGGCGATATTTTACCTTGAATCTCACACCCGCGAGTCAGAATTCGTAGTTAAATACTTACGCTTTAATTAAGATGTCCGTCCTAAGTTACCTTAGATATCTCATGGGCTTTCTACTCATCGTACTACGTCATTAAATTAGCTCTCTTACGTCGTCGATAAATACTAATTTTTAAAAGGATACCTACGTATTAGTTCCTTAAGGAGCTAATAACCCTTTAAGGAGCTCTATTATAAGTCCTACACTAGAGAAAATAGAAGGTCTAATAGGGGGTAAAAGAGGTCTGGCCTATAACGATGCGTCGCTTACGTATCTCTTCGCGAACTAGTCCTCCGTGAGCTGGGGTTATAACTAGGCTTCATTCGCTAACGGCTCTCTTCTCTCTAATCTCGAATTTATCCCGACGCTCTAGGGTCTCGATGAAGACGCGACATCTTCGTGGTTTACATAGGCCTCCTCCGCCATTAGCTATGAATTAAAACATCTCTTCTCCTTTAATGAACCCGATATCGTAATATAAGTAAATCTCAATGTATCCGCAGCGGCCGATGAGTTCATACAGTATATGAATCCTTTTCATGAGTAAGCCGAGCTGGCCACTCCGTTAGTGACGAATGAACTCGGCGACTCGCTCGGTCTTAAGTGGTTATCATCATTCTTCGATGCCTGTGCAGGGAGGTGCTTGGTCGATGCCGTCAACATTCACTAGTATAGCTCGGCAGTCGACACGTCGAATTTCTAGACGTTTATATCTAATGCCTCGGCACTGGTAATAGAAAATAGCGTAGGAACACTCTGGATTATAGAGTTACGTAGTTACGGAGGTACTGACCAGCAAATGCAGTTTTTGGAAACGGTCCTACCATGGCTCGACGGTAACGACGACGTGTCCGGCTATGCCTGGTTCATGTGTGCCGCGGGGGACGGTAACTTAGTGAGTAGTAGTGGCGTTGTCTCTGCTTTGGGCTAAGTGTACGGGTGATGGCTGAACTATCGGACAAGAGAAGCGCCGAATTACGACAGCAGCTGTCGATGTCTCACTCGGGCTGAAACGGTAGGTCGGGAAGGGCCAATGATGCTCATACCTAGAGTCCTGTTGCCCTGAGGAGAACTCTAGAACGATTCTAGGACCGGTTTATTCCTATGCAGCGGAAGAAGAGAATAAGGATCGCTGTCAAATCAACATCACTCAGAAATTGCCGAGGAGCATTGGGCTCCACGTGGATCAAGTGTCACTGTACGAGTAGTCGACGTCCCGGTGTCGTGAAATGCCCTACGTCGTGAAATAGGGCCTGGGTACTTCGAGCGCCACCATATTTAGCACACCACTTACCATTTGAACAGACGGTCTGAGGATGCACGCACATTGTAAAGCCGCATTCTATCGCCATTGTCACTCTCCTCCATAAATACCAGAGTCTAATGTTAATAAGCCGAGATTTCGACAACCCTTCAAGAAATCGGCCACACGACTTCGGTGCCCTAGAGGCGCCAATACCCGGTCTCTCCACTTTCAACATCGTATACGTATAACAGTATAATCTATCTACCGTAGAGCCAATTATTAAATTAAGCATTGAAGCTGACCGTGTTCTATGCCGCCCTCTACGCACACATAGGAACCCTGGCGGGTACTCCGACGTACATTAATCGACAGCCGAGGACCGACCCGAAGTAAATTAAGCTGTAATGACAATTCCCCCCGCTGGTATCATTAGCCATAGTTCCAGACTTCAATAATCTTGCCGCTTTAGTGTCGATGAGATCCGCGCCTTATATTCGACTCGTCCAGCCCGAACTACGTGACGGAATCTGCTGTTTACTTAAAGACTTAGAAGAAACTCCTAGATACATTGCTATTATACAGTATATAAGAAAGAAATTCTCTGGACCTCTCGTTCGTAAAGCTATTACAAAAATCATTAGATTATTCTTTATTTAGAGGATAACTATACAGTCCAACGCACAAAAGTAACACGACCATTTCCACTCCCTATAATAATACTGTCGCTTTGAGCCACCCATGATGTAGGACGATATTCAGGCGGCAACCATAGTATTCTCTGTGACTTCCATGTAATCCAGTCACCATTGACTCCGAACTTACTATCGGATGGTAAGTTAAAGCTAGGTGATTGCGTTGGAACCGTAGGTCGTGGTAACTATTGCGAAATATTTATAACTTCACCGTTTACTAGAATATTTAAGCCATTGTCGATAAATTCAATATAGTTATCGTAGGTATGAGAATCGTAGCACAGTAAATCGGCTCCGGATGTAACATCCCATAACCGCACCGTCTTATCACCGGAGCCAGAGGCGATGCGCGACCCGTTAGGTGAGAACACCACACTATAGACTAAGCTAGAGTGGCTCTCGAGTATCTGCTCGTATACGCCCGTCTATACATCCCACACCCGCACCGTCTTATCGTCGGAGCTAGAGGCGACGCGCGACCCGTCGGCTAAGAACACCACGCTGTTAACTAAGCTAGAGTGACCCTCGAGTGTCTGCTCGCACGCGCCCGTCTGTACATCCCACACCCGCACCGTCTTATCGTCGGAGTAAGAGGCGATGCGCGAGCCGTCGGCCGAGAACACCACGCTGTTGACCGTGTCAGAGTGGCCCTCGAGTGTCTGCTCGCACGCGCCCGTCTGTACATCCCACACCCGCACCGTGTTGTCGTCGGAGCCAGAGGCGATGCGCGACCCGTCGGCCGAGAACACCACACTGCGGACCGAGCCAGAGTGGCCCTCACAAGTTAATAAGCATACACTCCACCGCTCTGGGATTTCTCTTATCACTCGGACACTTTGTAATGCCTGATTCTGGGACTCGTTGCGGACAATGCTGGCGAGTGGGCTGAAATGCTAAGCACCGGTATACGCTTGTAACGGCGCCTGCGCAAGAATGGGATTGAATGTTAGCACAAACCGTCGCGCATCTTGTAGAAAGGCCGATATTTAGCTGTTCTCTTCTGCCACAAGCGATTATAATGTGACAACGAAGTCAACGCTCTCGGAGATCCTCCCTAGAAGGCTCAACGATTCGAGCCAATGTAGAAAGTGCTCCCGTAAGAAATTGGCAGCGACATCATGGTCACGGATCTTACGTCTACTGTGCTGGAGGTGGTAGACCCAGTGGCGGCAGGTATATTGGAGAGAAGGCGGAATGTGTTCGGTAACGATGGTCTCGTCGATGTCTTCCCGCATGACACTAGGGTGCTGTAGTTAGTAGATATCCTTTCGAAGACCGCTGGGACTCTGAAGCAGTGTAAGGCATTTATCGCTTAGATTTACGTGCGTGAAGAACTCGTTAATCGCAAATAGTCGTGCTCGATCGGAGTTACTTTTTTTCACGAGGAATTCCCGGAAGGAGAGGTGGAACAACGTAACCGGCGCATTAGGGTTGGAAGGCATAGACAGCACTAAGTGGAGAAGTCGTAGCTAGTGATTAATTTTCCGTCTCGGAATCTAGAGTAATTGGGACAGGGAAATCGTGGATAAGGGATTAGCTAGGAGAACGATCGATCCCACAATTTCACGGAAATCGCGGCAAAGCTTATCCTTTTCTTCGGGCTCCTCGACGTCGATCAATATCTAACAGAGCGCGGGGAGATACGTTTGCTCCATTTGGGTCATTCGCCCCGTGTTGAGCTGAGCGAGAAACGTCGTCAGTCGGTCGTGGGGGTCGCCGCGACGATCACCAATAAAGCGGGAAATCGTGGCAGCCACGATGAAAAGTGGAACGGACAGTTGAATGAAGGACTTCAGAGTCTACCGACCTAGCCAGTGGGGAGCCAGTGCTTGATTCATGGGCCAGAGATAGTTATGCTCATCGCGAATCCGTTGGAATTCACTTTCCAGGTAGACGGAGATGTCGTGGCGGATCGTAGAAGGTGGAATGTCGTGAAGAGCGATATCGCGATGGGTTTCAGTGCCGATTTGTGTAAAACCGAGATTGATCGGTAGTTCCGGTCGACTAGTTAGAAAGATTTGTACATGGACTAAACCGAGTCGTCGTACACTGGCTAGAAGAGAGAGAATAGTTCGTATATCTCCTTCTTAGTTACACTCGTTCAGCGCATCGATAAGTAAGATAGGTCTTATAAATAAGGTAGGACTAATGCCGGTCAACGGCTGATAAATTAACTTTTTAAACTGTTCTCTTAAAGTCTTGCGAGCGATCCCAGGATCTTCATCGATCGCTTAGTGAATGTGGGTTACCAATTCCGGTATCTAGTGAACTAAGTCGACTACAATGGTGGTGAAGAAGAGACTCGTATTCTTACGATCGTGCTCGCCTCGTTTAAAGAAGAAACTAGCGCCTAGTCGCCCCCGGTTGGCGAACGTCTGAGCAACCGTACGGAAAATCGTCGACTTATCCGTCCCGGCCATACCTCTTAACTAAAATATGCATTTTCCATCGACGTCATCAGCCCAATCATAGATCTCGCGCAGTAAGTCTCCCCGAGTGTCTAGGTGACATCGAGTATCGTGTTCGCTCTGGAGGGAGTTGAAAGCGGCACCCGTTGCCACTGGGAGCTTACTGAGGTCGAATTTAACCTCTATTTTATCGATGCCAGTCCGTATGAGATACACGGTTTCCAACTGCTTCAAAATTTACCGGATGCCTTCTTGTTGCCGCTTCACCGCTGCTCGGTTGGTAGCATTTAAGTCTCGATCACAGTTGCTCGCCTCGGTCTCGGCACGGCTGGCCAGTTTATTGCACGCATTCTTAAAAGTTGACACATCTTCGATTCGCTAGAATGCGTCAAACGCACGTGTAATGCTGCCTTTTTGATAGATGCGAACCGCGCCTGCGAGAAATCGTAATATCAACGCATGAAACTCGACCAAGTAGGTTTCGAAATTGGTACGAGCCTGACCGGCCGGAAGGGTGATTAAATATACTATGTACACTTAGAGACGGTTCGAGAGGTAGAGGGCTATTTTAAGACCGAGGAGGAGAGCCGCCATCTGGCTTTACGCGGAAATTGCGGCCTATAAGAAAGTCAGTCTGAAATCGATTCCCATTTGCGCCGTATATGTAACGGCTTTTGTAAGATCTAAAATATTTATCTCCAGAAGAAGACGAATGCCTGCCTACGGAAGTCCCATATGCACAGGATCAGCACTAGAAGCAATATCTCCCACCTGCTTAAAGCGATCTAGCCATTTAACAACATTGTCTGCCTTTTCTCGTAAAGTGACGGTATGTCCGCGAAGTGTCCAAGTTTATCTTTTCGCCTGGTATGTTGTCTACTTCTGCCTCGTCGCCGCGAGAGCTTACTGTATAAGTGCATCCACATCCGTCGTTTTCGTCACGCTGTGTTGTTGAATGGTGTCTTGATCCTATAGGAACAGAAGAAGGAAAACTCGGGTTTGGAAATCTTGCTGCGTCGCAATCGACGTTCCCGAAGCGATAGATTACGTGGTAGGAGCTGGGGATGCTGCTGGGGAGTTTGGTCTACTAGGGGGGATGGAACCACGGGAGAGCCATTGTCGGAAACGGCTGCGCTTACTACCCGGTGCCGCTAGGGACATGGCGAGATGGCATAGCGTGAACGACGAAGGTACAATACCGCTTGGAAACGGTGAGAAATACTCAACAATTGAATTGGACGTGAAAATGTTGCCTTTTCAGGGTCAGGCTGAGTATCAGCGGCATCTAAGTCTATTCAAGCCAAAGGCAGCCGTGGCTGGACCTATCCAGCCGCTCTTCCATGCAGCGTGTCACGTGCACGTCAGTGTGATTGAGGCGGCAATGGTGCGAGCATCGTGGCGGTGGCTAAGCTTTTGAATCGCCATCCTTGTCGCGTGTCATTTCTATATTGTCCGTTTCCGGTATTGTAGTCGGCTGTTTATTAATCTACACCGAAGTACCTAACAGAGGTATTCGTCAACGCGAAACCACAGCACAAACGATGAACAGCTTAAGTGGCTAAATTAATTATCTATTCTAAAGTGTATATAAGCTGGAGTACCATCTTCCATATCTTGGAATGTTAAGTCGATGGGAATCAGCACCTCTGGAGAGCTGGAACGATTTGGGAGATTTCTCGTGGGCCGATGGAAACCGGGGCCTTAAGAATTTCAAGTCACGGTATTAATAAACAAAAAGCAATGATGATTATAGCATAATTACTTTTTTAATATGGGAGTACGCTCGTAAACTCAATCAGCGTCCAAAGTAGTGGGTGTGCGTTGTCGATGCTCGGAGTACCTGAACTTTATTTCAGCACCTAGGGCATTTCACCGCGCCGGGATATCGTTTAGTGGTCCATCTGAAAGCTAGCTCTAGTTGATGTAAATAAGTAGACTATGATAGATCTCGGATGAGAAGATTTGATTGAACAATACAAGAATTCATCTTCTTGCGAAAGGAATGGCGGTTGGACCGAGTGGACCTCGGCTAACATACCGCCGGAATGTTGTTTTTGCCGCGGTTTAGCGTGAAGCGACTCGTTTTCTCTATCCCTCGACGGCCTCAACTTCATTGTCTCTTTATTAACCTCCCTACTCCCTTCCAGCCGCGTCTCACGCCAATCAGAGACTGTCCTTATTCTGGTGGTGGAGATACCTTACTAGGTTACTATAAAGACTGCGCCGGTTCATAACCTTGTTCGATTCGTCCCTCCTCGAGCGCGATATCACCTCCACGAGCACCGATGATATTCTACCGAGACCGACGACGCTTCTTTACCGGCTCCTCTATCGTCGTTTCTCCCTCATCCTCCTCGCGCTCTTTTCGCTTCCTATGATCCGGAGTACCAAAATCATTATTGAGGCCTTGCATATTCAGTAGATCGTGAACAGCGTATAGAGATCCACTAATGTGCTGCGGATCCGCTGGCCCTTCTTGAAGAAGAACGGATAATGTGTTCTTAGTTTTAAATTCGACCCTTTTACGAAAGGTCGCTTAGTGATCGATGAACGACCGATCGCCGACCGACCCGGGAAGCCCATGGCCGTTCACGATAAATCTCGCCGCCCGTTTAGACAACTATTCCAGTAGTACCTCGAGCTCAGAACTATTCCGAGATAAACGATAGAAGATATAGCCCGATTCAGAATACTTTCCCTTAATCTTCTTCGGCTTAGACTCGAGTTTAAAGTAGAAATGCGTCGTAACGAGGTAACGCGCGACGACATCGACATTCTTCGATCGATAGAACTACTCCCGAGCTTTTATTATTAGCCCGCGCATCCCGCCCGTATCATCTAAGTCGACCTCTCTATTTAGCTCAACGATAAACCGGAAATATCGCCCGTCTAACTCTATTCGTCTTTTATTCTTAAACGCCTAGGTAATTTTTTAACCGTTGATTAATTCTATGAAGGCTCTATATAATCGTGGTAGAAATCTCTCTCTTTAGATCGTACGTAGTCTACTGAAGTACGGCGTAGGTACGCGTGGTCCCGGGGACTCGGTACCGAGGGAGACGACTACATTAGGCCTTCGGATTAGTGGCCACATCATCGAGATTTCCCATAGAGTAAGGTCGACGAAATTATTCCTTTATAGGGCTCCGTCTTAAAAGGTTTCTACTCTAGAAATACGCTTTACTAGAAAGTACCTCGTAGTCTATGAGCTAATTAGAACCTCGAAAGAGCCGGAAGAGAATATACCACGGTGTCGTAGCTCCGCTTATTACTCTTATTTATAATATTAGTCATCTTCTTATACTTTAATAAACCGTGACGGAAGGAAATGGACACTCACATCTCCCACAGCCGAATTCTTTTCCACCCGTCTTATGACCGGATAATGCGATATTCTATTTATCCATTAGAGGTCGCTCTCACATTATTAGTTCGAATCTTAGCTTACCGTAGTCCTACGGCCTCGGTCCCGTCCCGTTATAGTTAGTGAAGAGGCACGGGTCCGTTTTAAGGACCGTAGTCACCGGGATTCCTACTTTCGCGCCGATCGCTATTACATAGGAGTTATCTAGGATACCTATGTCGCCGAAAACTTCTTTTAGCGTAGCTTCTAAATTATCCGCTAAATATAGACCGTCGGCTAAATATAATACGAGAAACCCCAGAATGTGCGATAGGACCGGAATACGGGACACGATGAATACGTAGGAGACTCAGCGGGGCCTAAATACCCTTTTCGCGAAAGATTTAAAAATATTCGTATAGTCCTTCACCGGCTACTCTATAATAAATAATGCGAGGACGATTAGCCCGCCTAGTCCGCGTTAGCGAGGCCCGTTTAGCGGATCTTACTCATCTATCGGAACTAGTACCGAATAAAATCTCGAAATTATTCTATACTAGGATCGGTAGATCTATCCTATTCTATAAGATTTATAAAAATAGCAGCGGTACGATTCCCTTAATACTACCCCCGTCGATGGTCAATACGTTAACCCCGGTAGTGTTAGGCTTTATCTTTACCGTTACCCCTCGAAATGCCGCGTCGTAGAGGAAATAACGCGAAATGCCGAACGCTCATCGATCATTCTAATCCGGCTATCCGAAAATACGTACGTAGTTTTCGTAGACCGCGTAGCCGTAGAGTAAGTTATTATTCTCTAGTATACGACGTAAGTACACGAGATAGGTATCGTCGCTTCGCACCCGCTTTCAGCGAAGCTTAAACTTCTTTAGATTACTACGATGAACGGCCACGGATAGCGTACCGTCGCCGCGTATAAAGTCCTCGAAACATCGCCGCAGCTACTCCGAGACGGCTTAGACGAAGCTAGATAGAAGAAGTAAGCTTATCGAGCTGTTATACATAAGTACCTCGCTTCTACCCACCCGATAGTAGGCGTCTTTATATAAGGTCTAAAATATATCTTCGAGGTCGAACGCCACGAGGCCGTTAGAATGGTTCCGCTACGCGGTGAAAGAAGCTCTAACTTACTATATATACCGGGAGAATAGTGATTTAGTAGGAGGCTCGACGTAATCATCGGCACCGCGAAATCCATTAGCTCTTCGGGTGATTTAATATACTTTAAGAAGTTCGATAGGTGCGTATCTAAGTCTGGCGCGATAGGATTAAGTAAACGTAACGCTTTCACGAAATCGAATGGCTCCCTCGTGCTTCTACTAAAGTGGTCGATCGTATATTTAAAGAATGCGGTTAAGTACCTCCTAGAGAAAAGCATTCTCGCCTTAATCTTCTACCTCCGACCTTAATTTAGCACCCGGACTAAGTATTCCTCTAGTCGCCGGTAGTCGTATTGTCCGTGAAGAATGATCACTACCTCGAGAGCCGACACCATCTCTAGAGAATTTTTAGTTATCTCTTCTCTTAGCTCGCCCATAAGGGCCTCCTCGGTCTCCTCGTCGCTTTCGGCCTCAGGGTCTATAGCTTCCATTATCACGATCACCCGTGAATATATTGCCTTCGGCAGTGTCGTCGGCTTACCATTCTCGAGCTAGAATGCGAGTCGACGTACCACGGGACTAAACTCGCCGACGTCGGTGGAAAAGAAGTAAAAGATATCCGCAAAAGCACCTAAGAGACGGGAGTAGAGGTAATCGGTAGCATTTTTAATAGCTAGATCTCGAACGCCTCCCCGAATGCGAGGAAGCATTAACTATCTCGTCTCGTGGCATTCGGCCGAGAATATCTTTTTTAAGTCCCGGTACGGAAGGTCGCCATCGACTAGAAACACGGGGACGTCATGGAACACGTCGGGATTTCCTCGTTAAAGATGAACTCCGCCGCCACGTTTTCGTCTGCCGGTCGACTTCTACCTATACTTCTCTACGCCGAGTATACGAAGGGCTAATAATTTGGCGGTATGGCCAATGAAGACTAATAAGCTAGGTTGCCGAAGGCCAGGGCTAGAAATTTCGTCGATCAGCGTTTAAAGCCGATCCGAGATATGCAAGATAACTTCGTTTCGTTCGATGCGGAGGTTGAGCTAATCGCTGTAATAACAGCGTGCCATCATGACAGCCAAAATACGATAGCTAGTATCGAGACTATAAGATGCACAACATAAGATGATTTTAAGATATTACGATGACCGTCATCCCGTGAGAGAAGCTCAATCTAGGTCCTTAAGTAGCGGACGAGGAAAAGGAAACAAGCAGAGGGAAGAGACTTAAATAGGCTCCGAATGCGGCCCTTCGAGATCCGATTTTAGGACCTAGCATAACTCTAACTTACGTTTTAGACTCCTAATAAAATCCATTTAAAGTAATTAACGTTCACCGTTCATTTCTTCTCGCTATTCACGATGAATTACCTCTCTTTACGCGGATAAATATAGTGTAGAGCAGTAATTATGGTCATTACGGAAATTTCGAAGGGTAGGATAGACAAATACTTCATTAGTAGAATGCCTTTTAGTAACTAAGTTCATTATATAAATTAATCATCTATTGAGCTTAAAGATCTAAGGTCGACCCTTAATCTAAAGAGATACTCCGAGCTACCCGCGTTTAGGTATAGATGTATCCTTTATTATAAGCCCCGGTCTTCGGCTTACTAGAGAGATTATCTCATCGCTCCGGGAGAATAACCGCGTCCGGGGGTCTATTCGCGACTAGGATGCAGCGCCCAGAAACGAGCTTAGTCTCTATCGAAAAGGCCTTTATCGATAATAGTCCTAGAAGTGCACTATTATATCTACGAGAATCCTTTCCCGAATAACTTCACTAGAACTCCTCTTACGGTTAAGCTCCCTACAGTAGAGTAGGGCCGATAAAAGGAGCTTCTTCGTAGTGATTATAAGAAGTCGGCCTAGACGTAGAAGAACTCTAATTAATTTAAAGATAAGTAATAAGTTTTATAGGTTAATCGTATAACCGAACTAACTTTTGTATCTCGCTAAGCTGAGAGCTTTTATAATGAGTTAACATCGCGTCCGTACCCACATTATCACGGATCCTAGATATCAATGAATACTTCCGTTGTATTATTTTCTCTAAAGATGATGGTCACTAATGGAATTAGTAATGGAATCGCCGGCCGGTTCTATTGGTGAATCGTATTGTAGGTTTTACTACGGATTATGTTTAACGAGATTCAGATATTGTTCACATCTATATTATACATTGCTAGTCACACCATCCTTATGGGAACTATCAATGGGACGGCTAAGTTATTCTGCGATTTCGTCCCTGTGGCTAAGGTTATACTGCCCACACCATAGATTAACTAACCACCACTATACTAAGCATAAAAAATTGAGCACCTTCCAGCACCTTAGGTTTAGCCGACGATAGCCATGAAAGTATACTCGCTAGGTGTCTTGGACTGTGACCACTTTCATAAACTACGGTGCGGCACTGTTCGCGGTCGACCGAGGTTGGCCGAGTTTACCACGCGCCCGACTGACCATTATCCGTAGAAACTAAGATCGAATGACAGTAATGAGCAGAGTTCCGTGGCAGTGCAGCACGCCAGTATAAGCTAAACCCTCAAACCTTAAAGCATGCGTTGGGGTCTATGTGCGCACAACTACTCCCTAGTTCTTTTAAGCCCGACGAGGTAGTCGGGGCTAGAAGTTGATGGGTGTGTGGGGAATTAAGCATTGTGGCGTTGCCCTTAAAGCTTAGTTTATCCACCAGGGCCCTTTTAACTGGTGTTGTGCCTTCGGTGAACCCTGGTTGATTTTTCACATGAAAGTCGCAATCAGCAGCACAACTAACCGAACCTAGTCACCCAGAGCGAACAGAATAGAGACCCTTCGCGGCCGTTTTACCATTTCTTGTAACTCGGGTCGACCGGGTTATATGATTAATCATCCTCTAACATTGTTAGTCGCCATCCGTAGCTAGGCCCCCCGACGGTCCACGACTTAGCCCTTATAAGTACGTCGCGAGACAGCCCATTTCGACTCCGGTCGATTGCCGGAAGACGGCTCTATATCTAAAGTGTAGGTGGTGCTTAAGGCTAGCTCTTAGTATAGTATTAGGATAACTAAATATAGATTCCGGGTTCATGCGCCGGGCGATAAACCGCCGATAGCTTAGAACGGGGGACGGGATAGGACAATGATAAGATTATAGAGATTGTTAGGAATAACGCTAGTAACATTAATATCTATAGGACTATGTTTAGATTTAGCTCCTCTAGGAGCCCGGATTCCACGAGATTTAACTTATTCTACTTAGTGTTAAACGGGAATCTTCTATCCCTTGAACTAAAAGTTCCAAAGAATGGTGGATTCGGTAACGAAGTGTTATAGAGGGAAACTTTCTTTTCTCTCCTCTTAGCCGAGGCTCTATTCTAGTTATGGCTCTACGCGTACTAACTACGCCTCGGTCTCGCTCCTAGTCTCGGTTTTACTCGAGTGTTTCTCTTCCCCCCAATATACTCAACATCCTTCGGTAATAGTATTTCTACTTATGGATCGGTTGACTTCTAAACGAGAGTTAGCGCCTGAAATTAATGGGAGATTAGATTAACCGGCTCCTCATTAGATCTTCGATGTTACGTGATAACGATTCTTCGCCGGGCGTCTAAAGAAATGTGATCTACCCGCTCTTAGAGTTCTAAAGATAGACCGTAATTTTAAATCCGCATAGCTCCCAGAGTTAAAATGTTTTGTTAACCTAGTCTCTCTTTCTCTTTCGTCGCTATATAATTCTCTCTTTTCTAGTTTACTCTTGTTTTTACTTTGCTATCTTATTGGGCAGTTAAACTTAACTAGCTGCGAAGCCTTCATCATAGCGGCCGTTTTATATTTTATCGTATAGCAGTAAATGAGGAGCCCGTTATAGCTCCTCGAAGTTAACCTATTCATAGATATAGCCTTTTAAGGATCTAATTCTAAACTCTTTCTATAAAGAACGTAGTAGATAATGTTCGCTCCCGTAGTTCATTCTCCTTATGAAGCTCCTAACGATGTTACTGCGCACTACTACCCGCGCTTCTATCTTCGTTGCTCTTACCTTCTCCCTGAGAGGGGTCTCTACGGATAACTTTTAAACTGACATCGAGATAATCACTCTAACGGCCAGTATATCAAGGGACTTTATCTAAACGAACACGTTCAGCGCACCACCGCAGGCGACCGTTGAGATTTAGTTCGACGGCCTAGTCGGCTCCGGTGTTATAAACTTAACCAATAATTACGGCTTTACAGCTGTCAATCTGACGGCCGCCAGCACCTCTGTCACCCCCTGCGGCTCTCCAAATCTATTCGCAGCCAATGTTACTTCCGGGTCGACTATTCCTCCCCTTTCCAGCCACAGCGTCTCCGCCATAAACCCTCCTTCGACGAATGCGACAGTGGTTCCTTCGGGCAACACATTTTCGTCGCCGTCGCCACTGTTTACCATAGACGACGGGTCTCTTAGCCCAACCCAGAGCATAAGCCTTAGTCTTCCCTCTGCTACTGTCTCGTCCGCCAACATTAGCCTCTTCACCGGTGCTGAAGGGCGATTGAGAGTATCTCCAGCGACTTTGCTAATGTGGTTGCTCATGGGCCTAATGCCGACTCTTTCTATCTGGAGCGACGATTTCTAACGGTAGATATATCGACGAGGGATTCTTCTCCTTTCTATATTTCTTCTATTACGGGTAAATTTATAGGGACTTAAATAGTTTAGATAGTTTATTCAATAATGTTATGAATATATACCTTTCGATACGTAAATTAGTATGGCACCTCGTAAAGCACCAGAGGAACGTTTGGCCTCCGTAGAGCTCGATGTTAATTCTTATTATTAAGATATATATCTAAATATAGTTCGTTTCTATCTAATTAACCTAGTAAGACATTAAACTTAAATACTCTTAAAAAACTCCTTCGTCTGCTCGCTGCGTTGTCCTAGAGATTCGGGTGATGGAGTCTCGGATCTTAAAAAATTGCGACCGTCGATGATCACTTCTTACGGGTTAATGTCGTCGACTTAAGAGGTAACCGCTTCAATGACACTAATGTATACCGGAGGCTTAGCTATCGCTTCTTCGGCGCCGCCGTTTTTCTTCTCGCTTTCCTTTCGACGGAGTCATCGAGATAGGATGATGATGATACTACACCCTCACACCATCGTGTTGCGTTTAAGTACTAAAAATGAGGGATTTCCGGAATGTGGTGCTGTGTTCGTGCGACAATAAGAAAGATAGAGGAGAATGTAGATAGAAAGCTGGAGTGCCGGTAGTCCTAACACGAGAATAGATGCGCGTAGTACTGTAGATGCACTTAATTAATTCGGCCTCCGGTATATATAGATCGTGTAAATCACGATAGAAAGCTAAATTAAGCTCCAGGATCCTCTTTAGGTCCCTTCTTCCGGCCGACTTTAGAGGTTGAATATAAAGACGGCAACTTATCTAGCTAAGTTTAGCCGATCGATTATATAACATTCATCACTAAGAGTAGTCTACCGCATCTTCTTAGAACCATCTATGTCTGGCCTCAATAAATAAACATGGATAAAGAATAGCCGGACTCGCCTAGTATTTCTAATTATAACGACGACGACCTATTCATAGAGGCGTTGCTAAAGAGAATAGACGACTTCTAGAGAAGGGAGGAATTAATTACGATCGAGAGACCAGAGAAAGAGATTTCGTCATTACGATATTAGATTTTATGCCACTAGAGAAGTCTGTACGTCACCTTTAAATTGCTGTAAGAAGCCTTTAATACAGCCGTTCTTATTAAGACAGCCCTCTAGATATACGATGAAGAGAAAGAAATGGTCAATGTAGATTAGCTAGCTTTTTAGAGAATTCATATCGAGACTCGGTTAGCTCTCGAGTATCGACCGATGGAGTGGCCGTAGAAATGAATCTAGCGACGATAGAGGGTCGAAATTAAGTGTCGGCTTTAAATGTACTCAAAGCCTTCTAAAATTTAGTACACCGTAGACGATTAGATCTTAGTTTAATGACGATATAATTTCCATGGCCTAAGCGTAAATAATTCATTAAGAACATCTTTGGGCTTCATCACCTTCTAGCATCGAGGGTTAAGGTACCTTTTTAAACGATGTTCTTAAAATGCTTTAAAGTTAGTGAGTTTACTGGCCTACCGATCGTATAAAATGCCCTAAGACGGTAACTCCTTTAATCGTATCCGATTACTAAACTACCATACAAATTTAGATATACGTCTACGCCGTTCTTAAGTATTCTACGATTCGACTATAGAGCCCTTAGATCTGGCCTATCCCTCGTAATTAGAATTTCGATCCCTAATCTAGCTTTCCACCGTTCTCTTAAAGATTAAAGATCACTATCTATGATGCTCAATATATTTCTTCATCGTGTTCATCGAAGCTTTCACCCTGTTCTCATGGTTAGTTATAAAGTATTGGGTTCATCGGAAAGATTATACTAATCTTGAAACTTCGAGAAATGAATTTCTAGTTGATTACATTGCGTCTATAGAGATTCGATCTAATCACTCCGGGTGTGGAGGGAGGTCACTCCCTACTTAATCTCCTTCAACGTGGCTGTAAACTCGGCAGGCATCTTTAGTGAGCTGACATCTAGTTCTGGAGCCGATTATATAAACGTAGTATCGGCGCACATGTGCGGACAGATGCTCGTATTGTCCTATCGAAATAGGAAAGCGGTGGATAATTATTGAAGTAGGTAATTGGTGGTGTCCTGGATATATTCGTTGGTGATAGGCTATTTATAGAAGAGAAGTTGAAGCGCGTCTTCGCACGACATTCCGCCGGTGGCGTTTTAAGTATTTTACTGAAAGGCCATCGAAGTATGGTATAAAGGTAGGGTTAACTACGTATGTCACTCCCTTAAATGTCATTTCCTTATATAAGTTCACCTAACTAACACCTAGTGAGAAATATACCTTTAAGGTATACTTTACTATATCTAGCCCATCGCGAACCGTGGGCGACGATTACCCTTCGACCTTAAACCGACAAACGGCGGCGCTTATCGTGGGGCCGGAACTATCCCTCTAGAAGACGGTGTAAACTCCCTTCGTACCGAAGGGTCTAAGCCGGGCTCCTACTTTAGAGATTTCGCAGCAGATAGTGTAACGGCAGGGATCTCCGAGCCCGTTTAGATCCTCACTAGCTCGGTGGAGAGTCCTGAGGGGCAGATTATTTCCATCCCTGCGCCCACAGCCCTAAGCCTCGCTCAATGCACCTAGCGACAGTCCTACCAACGGTCGAGCGACTCTCGTTGCGTAAAGAGATTATTATTCTACGGTTGAAGTTAACCGCAGGCCACAATAAAATAGTGCCTCCACTCCTAGCTATTTATGAACCGATAAGGGCGACGCTTCTATTTCAAGATTTAGGATATGGTACGCTCGTTATGAACTAATTTTAGTTCTTTATCGCTGCCGTCACCGTTGTCGCCGCCGATATTGCTGTTGAATGAAGAGGAACTTAGTGTTTTCTACTTTAAAAGGAGCCGCGTTGAACGGTAAAGTCTAACGAATAACGGCAGCTTAAAACGTTCGATAAAAAATATGGCTTCTCATATAAGCGGAAGAAATAGCGCAGAACTAGACGCCGTGAGAGTACGTATTACTCATTATTTTCCGTTTGAACTCTTATTAATCTTGTAGGTCACTCCCAGCACTGCTGGAGGGCGGCTTATGCCGACTGGTCCTATCCCGGTGAATGTTAACAACCTAAACGCTACTTAGACACGTCTCTAGTTCGTCACCCAGCAGTATGCCGGGTTTCAAAGAGAGGCATGCGATATCCAGCGTACTCTCTGGACCAACATCCACACGTTACTGAGCCAGAAGACCGCTTTGGAGAAGTCGTGGTGAGATATCAATACGGCATATAACTCTAAAACCGACGAGCTGAACGAAATGGCCGAAAACAGCGTCGTATTGTAGGAAGAGCTCCTGATCGCCTAAGAAGAGACCGAGGCGGCTCGTCGCTAGGCCGAAGAGTCTAAAGGCCGGAACCAGCATCTGGTCGAGTAATAGAGGTTCTTACAACATAACGTAGATTAAGCTCGTTAGAGGATCCGTATCTTAGAAAAGGGTGTTACCCTATATAAATGTACGACCGGCACTACGGACCCTACGAAGGGCGCGACGATTCACGAACTAGATTTAAGCGAGAACGGAATGACCACGGTGAGAACATTGGAGCTTTAAGCTAGGATGAAGGAAATGGAATAAGACTACGAGTATATAATGGAACGCTATAAAAACGAACTATTTAGCCTTGAAGCACGTCTAGCGGTGGTAGATTAGAAGTTAAAGCAGTTTGAATAGACCACCGATAGAACCCGGACGATGAATTTAATCATTTTACCGGCCGTTAAAAGGGAACCACTGTCTTTAGGCATCGATGAAAACGTTAAAATGAAAGAAAACGAGATCACGGGGGTAGGACGTCGAAGGCAACTAAAGAGAGCTCGACGGGGGCGAAAGCTGGAGCCTAAAAATGCGGACTTACGGGTAGTATGCCATTGAACGGCGTGGGAGGATATAGGGAAGGTAAAATTGAGAGACTCGATTCGTTTATCCTCTTTTGTTAGTAGAACGCACCGTCTGAGTTTCCCTTTCCGCATTTAGTATCGGCATAATTTCGTATAGTCTTTAGTAGAATTTCTGAAATCGATTTCTTCTAACAGCCCGTAGGAGAGTCATAAACATTGTGCGGGTGGCGGATCACCATCGTTCTAGCAACGGAGGGCAGACTCTTTCCTACTTTTATGTATATTAAGAATAGAATAATCTTCTTTCACTCGGCGAGAGGGGGCTTATTCTGGTCCCCCTTCTTACTAATTTATCGCCAATCCCCAACGCTTAGCGCGGTTAATGATCATTTAAAAAAAGAATAGTAAGGAAAATAACACCGCTCAATTCCCGGCCCTGGCCGAGTATATCTACAGAGACAGTCACTGATAGTCACTAAAAGCCACCATCGTCTCTAAAAATCGAATCCTTAAAGGGGTGTCATAACCTACATACCATTACGAATATATCGCGTCTACGCAAAGTTCACAGCCGTTCCCCACCGAATCAACCCCCTACGCTGAGTCCGATGGACGCGTTGATCGACAACAACCAAGGCTCATCCGTAGCTCTCGAAGCATCTAGGTCTCGACTGAAGGCCTCCAAACGCGCCACACGTCCTACTCCATTATAGAGAATCGAGCAACTCACCGGGGAGAAGACAGCACTACAAAAAGAGCTCGCGAAATATTAGAGGTAGGAGAGCGCTAATCGGGCCTTTAAAGAAGAAATGAGACGGGTTTTAGACTGACTTTAGCAGACGATATTCGAGTGAAGAAGAGCCTAGAAGGAGATTGGTGACGATTTCGACACGACTTTAGAGCAACGCGCGGATACGGTTAGTATTAAGGTTAGCTTCTAGAGCCGTGACGTTTAACCTTGGATAATGGTTAATACTTACTATGAAGATAAAAATTTACTTAGCGCGGAGTAGCTCTTAGTCTCTAAAGATTCCTTAATTAATTCCCATTATAGGGCCTACTATCTATCTAGCGGTCTTATTCTGTCTTTCTC